TTTTTTTTACAGAACATATAACACAGATAAAATGCTTGAAATGGTGTAATTACTTGGTTTGTATTGTTCTATCGCTCTATTGTTTGCTACTGGCCACCTGGATGAAACGCTTTAAAGCTTAAGTCTACGGAAAACCATTGAAACTTTCAACGGCCATTATCTCCATAACGACGCGGCAAATTCGCACCAAATTCGGGGATCCCTTCAGCTCGAGGAACCCTCTCGAACGCGAATCGAATGTACGACTAGAGGCCCACTTTCGAATGAGACCACCCCCGCATCGATAGCCCCCGGGGTTCGGCAGTTACGGGTGATTAAATTCGCGGTCCGGCGCCGTCCGATCAAGTGATCCCGGGGGGCTACCGACACGCGGAGAGTGGCGCTCGAGAGGGCTCCTCGAGCTGAAGGGATCCCCCGAATTTGGTGGAGATCCGCTGGCGCGTTCGAGATTGTGACACCAGTCAACACCTCACACTTCTCTAGTAAGTTTCGTCTGTGTGTGAAGACAGTAGCGCAAATCCGTGAATAAATGTTCTGAAGTGAAATACACTTTGAAGGAATAAAGTTGAACGGAATTGAATTGAAGTTGAATAAACTTCAACTTTACTGTTCAGTGCACTGATGTCAGACTCATTTTGGATAATAAAGTTTACTGTTAAATTGTTAAATGCCCTGCCACCATTACGTATCTTTGTCACGTCATTATAAGTGTTTGATCACCACATTTGAGTGATTATTGCAAAAAAAAATGTGTTTATATATTATGTTTATGTATATACTATATTCTATATATAGTACCAGTCAAATGTTTGGACCCTCGAATGGGAAAGTGTCCAAACTTTTGACTGGTACTGTACTATAATATACAAAAAGAATATCGGCCGATATATCAATATCGGCCTTTTTTTACTCCCTAATATCGGTATCGGTCCCGAAAAAACCCATATCGGTCAGGCTCTAGATTTCACCCAACCGCAATTCTCTTGAGCATCTGAACAGGATTCTGTAGAGATGAGCTGAGCAACACTCTCCATGAAAGATCAGGGCATTTAAGGAGATTGTCCTTCAGAAGTGAAACAGGATAGATGTGACAATTTGTCATGAACTTTTACACTTTCTGCCAAGAAGGGTCACAGCGGTATAATTAAAGTTAAAGAGGACACACCGAGTATTAGATTATTACATGTTAGTTGAATTTAATCAGGGGTGTACTAATCTCTACAACCCTTCATTTAAAAATTGGACGATTTACTTATTTTACAAATATACATGACATAGGCCTATTTATGTTTTTATTAAATATATAATTTTTACAATTTATATTGAGTTACCGAATTTATGTTGAGTACTGTGTGTGTGTATACTTGTATATTTATATTATATATATTTGTACATGTGGCGTATCTTGTCAGTGTCTGCGCTTGCTTGGCCATTTGTTGTGGAGAAAATAATGTGTGTCCAGCTGAATTAATGTAGTATTTTGTTAGAAGGGTATATAAAAAAAAAAGAAGAAGCTTAGTTTACCGTGACAGCTGTTGTGTGAAGGCCTCCTCGTGTGAAGACCGAAGAGTGTAAAGACCATCGACTCTACCGGGCAGGGACACCGGCAAAGGATAAGTATCGCTTTTTATTTCTCCTCTTTCCTACTAGTTTCACTTCTGTTTCAGTTTTTATAACCATTTCTTACTATGTGCAAGTAAGTTGTTGTTTTTTAGCATGTGTGTTTGGCAGTGTTATTTTTTAGGATTACTGATAAACTACTGTCATTTGATTTGTATTACTTGTATTTATTTTAATTTTAGTTACATTATGTCTGAATTTATTGTCTGTATAGGTCTTTTAAGTTTAGTTATTTTAATACTTCAACAAACTAAATGGAAATGAAATAATATATATTGAATTTATAAATATGTATGTGTGTGCTTGTACATACACATTTGTAGTTGTTGTTTGGCTTAGTGTTATGTTAGAATCATTATTATACCTTTTGTTCTTTAATATTTTGAATTGTTTTTAGCTTTATTTTTAGTTTTTTGTGTCAATGTTAAGTTTTGAAATTTTGTTGTATGCATTTGTCATTTTTATTTAATCTCTTTATTTTTTAAAATGTGTATAGGTAGTAGTTATAAAGTTTTAGCTGTTAGTTTTGGATCCATTTTTAGTTGTTTTAATACTACAATTGATTGCTTCTGTTGTCCTCATTTGTAAGTCGCTTTGGATAAACGACTAAAATAAACTAAACATACATTGTAGCACAATACATCTAAAAAAAGTGATATATATATACAGTGGGTACGGAAAGTATTCAGACCCCCTTGAAAGTATATTAAATGTTCCATAATTTGTGCACCTTTCAGTGTAATAGATGCATTTATGTAAAAAACACCCTTCTTCTGACCCGTACTTATTAAAACACAAAAGAAAATGCGATCATACTAAATTATATTAAAAACGAATTGCTGACAAATAGGTAAATCTCGAGTAGTGGCGCATAGATTGGTAAAGATTTAAGAGACAATTAATTCGTTTTTGGGGGGTTCCCTGTGATCCTTAAATTGAGTCTTTACATGACATCTTTAATGATTCTTCTAAACACGACTGACAAGATTAGCCTACATTTCAGTAGTCAAAAAATTTGAACGTATATCGTTGACAGTTTTTGCTCAGAAAAAAAATCTAACTAAACAGGACATATTCTAACGCACGAAAAAATAGCTTGATTTAGGGTGCCAAAAACAAAAAAAAGGTCCAAGCTGTTTGAGATTTTTTGATCTCAAGAGTATGCAGCTGCTGTCTTGCTCTAAAGCACAGATACAACAGAACTGTGTTGCATCACACTAGCAGTGGGACTTCCATGATCTAATAATAAAGCACTGTTTCCTCAGCTGTCAGAACAAGCCTGTCAGCATGATCTCAGATCAGAGACCCACAGAACACCCCTCGATATATACATACTGTGGACTATGAGCGGACGGTCCACCTTAAACAGCACTTTGGGCAGCGTAGCGCCGTTTGATAGTGATGCCCAAAGATGTTGTCTAGGTAGGCAGCTCACTTTTAAGACGCAAGTACCTGAAGTATCTAGGACGCCTTTACAGCACATTTCCGCGTGGCTTCAAGTTCAAACACAACCTCGCATTGATTTAAAGCACAAGCACAAGGCATTGAGATGTGAATGAAGCACTAGTGAACTTCGTGAGCACCTCGTGTGGGTGTGCGCGGGGCATGTTTTCCTTTCGGTCCGGTTCAGCTTGAAACACGCCGCCTCCAAACCCCTCCATCTCGCCGCTCAGCTCTGCCCTGAAACCGCGGACGTGTCCTGCTGTTTATATCGCTCACGACCCGACATACACTCGCAAGCCTCTAGTATGTACGCGAGCAGAGAGCGTTGTTCTCAGGCTATAACCCCAGTCCAGCAGTCCTCTCTGCAGCTCTTTTTAGCTCCTCGTGACAACTTCCGGGTCTGGGTGCTCTGACGCACGTCTCGTCACGTGACGCTAGACGCCAATCACACGACAGACGCCGTCTATTTAAAACTATATTTATTTACAAATGTCATATTTTTATATTAAATTAGATTTGTTCACGGATGCATTCAGAGGCCATTTTGGAGCAATAAACATTCGGAACAAAAACAATAAACAACTAAATAAATGTTTATGTTTTCGTGATTGGCTGCGAAAATATAACCAAAATATATCAAACTGATTCTTTACTTTTAAATAATGAGTTTAAGAAAAAAAACTGTTTCTTATCTTTTTTTTTGACCTACAGAACTTTACACGAATTCTATTCCTAGATGAAGAATCACCCTTGGACAAGAGGCTGATGAAAATCTAATCTGTTCATTAAGATCATAAACTGTACACTGTCTTCATCAAATCTTCATCATGTACTTTTGGAAACAGGTCTCTTTTGAAGAGACATTATGCACAGATAGTGAGGAAATGCTAACAGTGCTGAACAGAAAAAAGTTTGAGTGTAGCTTAATTTATACTTAGGGGTCATATAATATATGATAAATAATACACGCGCAGTTTAAATTATAACATAGAGTTTACACATCAAAAACATATTTAAAAAAGGTTTTTATAACAAACCACACTATCTGCACATTAATAAGAAGAAAAAGAAGAACACTTATTATTATTAATAGTGCTGTCAAACGATTAATCGCGATTAAACGCATCCAAAATAAAAGTTTTTGTTTACATAATATATGAGTGTGTATTTATTATGTATATTTAAATACAAACACATGCATGTATATATTTAAGAAAAATATGTTATGTTTATATATTAAATATATTTATATATAATATAAGAATATAAATGTATATACATGTAAATATTTTCAAAAGATATGCTGTATGTGTGTGTATTTATATAGATATAATAAATATACACAGCACACACACACACATATAATGTGAACAAACACTTATTTTGGATGCGATTAATCGCGATTAATCGTTTGGCAGCACAAATATGATTATTATTACAACATTTTAAGACTTAATATTATATTTTTTATAACATTTCAGGACTTAATAAATAAAGGTAAGAAAATTAACTAAAGTTTAAGTAAAGGTAAAGTTAAATTCTACTTCAGAATTTACTACTGCACATAAATCAGATATAATGTTGCCTTGCAGTTTAAGGATGCAGCATTTGTTTTTATGATTACAGTACGTGCAAAGAAAGTCAGTAGCCTGTAATAGGCTAATCATATTTGTAACTGTGTTACTCGACACATTTAATTTGAGATGTATTGTTTTTGAAAACGAAATCAAGCTGTAACGTTACATCTAAACCAGACTGAGGTTTCTTTCTGAGTTTGCTCCGTTTGCTCCTCACTACATGGCGTCCCAGCTCCGTTCCGCTGTTGGTTTGTCACTTAATCACGCTAGACTCGTCGTGTCCTTTAAAAACACAACTATTACGGTCACATATTTAATTTGAGGTCGCATAAGCATGGCACGCTGACAGCCGTTTTGCCTCTGCACTAAACTGAAAGTATCGTGCTTAAGAAAGATTGTTCACAACATTACTTGATTAACAACCTCTCTGAAGTTGCTAAATACTTCACTCATAAATGCAGATTTCTGAAAACCCCTCCATCCTTTCCTCACTTTTCTAATGAACTTAACATTGTTGCTGCTTCTCTTGATGCCCTTTCAAATGAAGAAGCTACTACAGTGCCCTATAACTCCTTGCTACCCCTTGCAAGAACTTACTATTCTATAAATGCTTTTACTATTATTTTTTATTTTAACTTATTTATTTTTTTTATCCTTATTTTTTTCATTGCCCTTCATGATTGTACATTTAATGTAAAACTTCAGTTACATATTGTAATTGCAACTATGTCTGCCTTTGATAATTGTTAATATTGTTTGTTCAATGCCTATTTTGTATGTACATTTGTTTATTTACTATATATATATATACACACACATAAAAACTAAATTCGCGTGTCACAGCGTCAGACGTCTATAATAAACATTCGCCGAATTTAATGGTTCCGCTTGCATACCCCCGGGGACAGATTTATCCGTAATATCCAACATACATTTCCCTCGGTGGCTGACATCAGCGGTGTTTAGGTAAGTTGAATAGTCGTGATTAACACTGACTCAGTCAAAACATGTAAATATACTCGTTTTGTTTTTAACACGAGTAGTTGTCATCCTGCTGCTGTCTCGTGCAAAAGCTCACTCATGTTGTTATGCTAGCGCACGTGACATTAGCCACTTCACTGCTGATGTTCATATTCTGTGATGCTAAACTTCAACAAATGTCTTTTTTGGAATATATCGACTGTTATAGAAATTGCGTCTTTTTGGCCGACGTTTTAAGGTTTATGTGAAAGGGAAAGATTTTAATTAGTAATCATATTCTTACCCAAAGTCACTCAAGTGTAGTTTTTAACTTCTCCTTCCCAGGCTGGGCTTTGGCCTGTAGCTCCTAGTTAACCTCTGAAGTAAAACAGCATGCAAAATCGGTATTTATTGAGAATGTGTTGGAACTGGCCTGTTTAATGGCATTGATATCGTATAATAAATATCAAGCAATACATTTGGTTGAAAGCGTCACTATGTAAAGAGATGTGAGTGTAAATGAGGAGTAATGGGGTGAGTCGCGTCGCGTGCCTCTACTGTCTGCGTCAGTCACGCGCTCTCTGAACAGAGCTGCACCCGCAGTCACTCACGAGGTCTGTGTCAGGCCACGGAAAACAACGCCCCACAATAATGTAGCAACATTAATAATCAAAGGGGGAAAAAACAGGAGTATTTATTATACTAAAGACGTCTGTGTGTGTGTGTGTGTGTGTGTGTGTGTGTCTGTCTGTCTCTCTGTGTGTGTCTGTCTCTGTCTGTGTGTGTGTGTGTGTGTGTGTGTGTGTGTCTGTCTGTCTCTCTGTGTGTGTCTGTCTCTGTCTGTGTGTGTGTGTGTGTGTGTGTGTGTGTGTCTGTCTGTCTCTCTGTGTGTGTCTGTCTCTGTCTGTGTGTGTGTGTGTGTGTGTGTGTGTGTGTCTGTCTGTCTCTCTGTGTGTGTCTGTCTCTGTCTGTGTGTGTGTGTGTGTGTGTGTGTGTGTGTCTGTCTGTCTCTCTGTGTGTGTCTGTCTCTGTCTGTGTGTGTGTGTGTGTGTGTGTGTGTGTGTCTGTCTGTCTGTCTCTGTGTCTGTGTCTCTGTCTGTCTCTGTCTTTGTGTGTCTGTGTGTGCATCTGTGTGTGTCTGTGTGTGTCTGTCTGTCTCTGTGTCTGTGTCTCTGTCTGTGTGTCTGTCTGTGTCTGTCTGTGTGTCTGTCTCTGTGTCTGTGTCTGTCTGTGTCTGTCTGTGTCTGTCTGTGTGTGTGTCTGTCTGTGTCTGTGTGTGTGTGTCTGTCTGTGTGTGTGTGTGTGTGTGTGTCTGTCTGTGTCTCTGTGTCTGTGTCTCTGTCTGTGTCTGTGTGTCTGTCTGTGTGTCTGTGTGTGTGTGTGTGTGTGTGTGTGAGTGTGTGTGTGTGTGTGTGTGTGTGTGTGAGTGAGTGTGTGTGTGTGTGTGTGTGTGTGTGTGAGTGAGTGTGTGTGTGTGTGTGTGTGTGTGTGTGAGTGAGTGTGTGTGTGTGTGTGTGTGTGTGTGTGAGTGTGTGTGTGTGTGTGTGTGTGTGTGTGTGTGTCTGTGTGTGTGTCTGTGTGTGTGTGTCTGTCTGTGTCTCTGTGTCTGTGTCTCTGTCTGTGTCTGTGTGTCTGTCTGTGTGTCTGTGTGTGTGTGTGTGTGTGTGTGTCTGTGTCTGTGTGTGTGTGTGTGTGTGTGTGTATTTATAGCCTATTAGCATATATAAGTACTGCCGTTCAGAAGTTTGGGATCAGTAAGATTTCTCTTGTGCTCATCAAGGCTGTATTTATTTGATCAAAAATACAGGGAAAAAACTGTAATGTTGTGAGATATTATTTCAATTTCTAATATTGGTTTTCTGTTTTAATATACTTTAAAATGTAATTTATTCCTGTGATGTAAAGCTGAATTTTCAGCATCATTACTCCAGTCTTCAGTGTCACACGACCCTTCAGAAATCATACTAATATGCTGATTTGCTGCTTAATAAATATTTCTTATTATTATTATCAATGTTAAAAACTGTTTTTGATATATATATATAAGCTGAATTTCCATCAGCCATTACTCCAGTATAAAGTGTCACATGATCCTTCAGAAATCATTCTAATATGCTGATTTATTATTAGAGTTATCAATGTTGGCAACAGTTGTGCTGCCAAATATTTTTTTTTGAAACTGTGATACTTTTTTATTCAATATTTTTGAATATTTTATTCAATATTTTTATTCAAAATATAAATCTTTTCTAACAATGTTAAGCCTTGTACACACCGGGACGATTATCTCGGCTGCTTATCGCTGCTGTTTTTCGATGCGTTTTTTTGGGTTCATACCAAGCGGCAACCTCCCGCTCGCTCTGGTGAAGCCAACACGGAAGTGCCTTAAACTGTAATTCATCGACTGGCCGCTAGAGGCTGGCTGCAAAAGGGAGTCAATCCCATAGACTCCCCATGTTAAAATGCCCAACTTTACAGCAGAAAAACATGTTTACAGCCTGGTTCTACCCAAGCGATTTTCGCTGGCAATAAGCCGAGTGAACGTGCAAATTCACTCCCTGACATTAGATGGCGCTTAATGAAAAACAGGAATACCCCGGTACACATCGAATCCTATTTGATCTGCAATTCCTCTCCATAACAACTCCCTCTTATCAAGATTTTTGTAGTCGCGCTTGTCATAAAGCCCTTTGTGTTCAGACACCAATGAGACCAGCAGCTCTACATTCATCTTGCCTCGATGCATCTTCTTCGTCTACTTCCTCTTCGTCGTTAGGTATCAATGTGTGCTCGGCAAGACCGTTTTGTGCTTGAGTTCCACCAAGTCGTGTTTTACTGTAACTTCAGCAGCTCCAGGCACGTGAACAAAAGCACCAATCTCATTGGTCGGCCAGTTTTTAACGCGGCGTGTCAAACCCAAAAAAATTAGCCCCAGACGTTTTTTTTTTAAAAATGACGCTTTTTCGCCTCGCGTTTTACTCGTCGGTGTGCACACTCACATTGGTGCCCTTTGTTTAGTCACGAGGCGTTAAACGTCGGCGATAATCGCGCGCGATATTCGTCCCGGTGTGAACAAGCCTTAAATCTTTGCTATCACTTCTTAACAATTTAACACATCCTTGCAGAATAAAAGTTTTAATTTCTTTCAAAAAAAGAAAGAATAAAAATGTACCGACCCCAAACTTTTGAACGATAGTGTATATTGTTAGAAAAGATTTCTATTTTAAATAAATGCTCTTCTTTTTAACTTTTTATTCATCAAAGAATCCTGAAAAAAAGTATCACAGGTTCCAAAAAAATATGAAGCAGCACAACAGTTTGCAGCACTGATAATAAATCAGCATATTCGCATGATTTCTGAAGATCATGTGACACTGAAGGCTGGAGTAATGATGCTGGAAAATCAGCTTTGCATCACAGGAATAAATTAGATTTGAATGTATATTAAAATAGAAACTCTTATTTCACATCGTAATAATATTTCACAATATCACATTTTTTCCTGTATTATTGATCAAATAAATGCAGCCTTGATGAGCATAAGAAACTCCTTACATTAAAAATCATTCTGATCCCAAACTTTTGACCGGTAGTGTGGTGTGTATATATATATTAGGGGTGGAACGGTTCAACTTACTCACAGTTCGGTTTGTATCACGGTTTTAGAGTCACGGTTTCGGTATGGTTTGGTATGTGCTATGTTTAGGCAAAAACTATACTGTCAAATACAAATAAAGAAAATAAGAATAATCTAACTACAAGCAACAGCACAAATAAATACAATCGAGTAAAGATACAAATAAAATAAACAGTGATTTTCAGTTTTATTTTTTAGGTAGGTCTAACATTTGTTTTTAGGTACAGAAATTGAATAAAGTAATGAAATGTAAAACAGCATTGCATATTCGACTGTATCTTTATTAAATTTACAAAAGCTATTCAGTCAAGAGCAGTGAGTGATTTCCGTGTTGTTGCTGTTTGATTAATATTAAGAAAGTGCTGTCACTTTAAGAGAATGCAGCCGGCTATGTCTGCTATAGGATACTTACCAAGACAGGCATTTTGAAATAATTTTTGTGTGAATTTGTCCATTTAAACACGATACTTCAGAGAGAGATTAATATTTGCGCGCATTCTGAGGCGCGGGTTTGCGTGCTTCGGATGAGCGCACGCACAAATCTTTTCACTGCTCGTGCGAGCTCGCGTCCTCTGGCTCTTTAATATTTAAACTGGCAAAGCTTAAATGAGCTTAGCTTAAAAACAGTTCTCATAAAGGTTAATTTTCTGAAAATAACAAATTTATATAATTAAAATATAGGTAGAAGGTTTTTGTTTATTTATTTATTTAAAAAAATGTAAATTTTATTTTATTTTTTTTTTGAATTAGCATTTCCCTTGATATCATCGCCTCACACTCCATCCCAGTAGGTGGCGGAATATGCACGAAAAGCTGGTTTGCCAACCGCCATAAAACATCATAAGAAGAAGAGTTTAGCTTAAAGGGGTCATATGATGCTTTTTTAAAGATCATTATTTTGTGTATTTGGTGTAACAGAATATATTGACATGCTTTAATGTTCAAAAAACACATTATTTTTCAAATACTTTACATTATTGTAGGTCCTCTATGCCCCGCCGCTCTCAAACGCTTCGTTTTCTACAAAGCCCCTCCTTCTGACAAGCACAGTCTGCTCTGATTGGCCAGCTGACCCAGTGCATTGTGATTGGCCGCACACCGCAAGCACTCGTCGGAAATGTAACGCCCCTTACCATAATCGCGAGCTTCATCTTTCAAAATAAATGTAAAGACAGAGCCCGAAAGGGGAACAGAGTCGCGTGACAGACACAGTGATGAAGCTGGTATGTGTTTGCAGTACACAAGCCACGGTTAAGACAGCTGACTCCACTGTGATGTGACCCTCTCTCTCTCTCTCTCTCTCTCTCTCTCTCTCTCTCTAGCTCGCGCGCGCACGCGCACGCACACACACACACACGATGCGCAAAACTCCGCATTTGAACAGTCAATAGCAAATACTTAAACTAATAACAAAACAGTAGCTGATTCAGAAGCGCCAGATTGTCATAGCAAAGTCAGAATTAACTCCTCTCCTAGGTTCACGAAACCGTCGTCCATAAAATGCATTGCTGTTCTGTTGTAAGTAATCTTAAAGATTCCTAAATGCATCTACTTCTGGAAGGCCAAATAAAGTGCTTCATCCATCAACAGAAACATATATTAGCCGAACCCTGTTTGTTTTACTTGTTATTTATAGCTAAACCATATTACAGATGCATTGTTAGATTTAAATTGAACCGCGGTCCTAGCGCGTGCCGAACCGTACGGTTAGATTTTTTACAGAGAACCGTTCCATCCCTAATATATATATATATATATATATATTAGTAAGGATGCATTATATTGATCAGTAAGTCAATATTGACTGACAGTAAGACAGTAAAGACATTTATAACGTTACAGAAATTTTCTATTTCAAATAAATGCATTTCATTGAACATCATTGTATCACTGTTTCCACAAAAATATTAAGCAGCAAAAACTGTTTTCAGCATGTGTAATAATGAGAACCATTATTTATTTTTGAGTACCAATAATAGTTGATAACAATTTAGGACCAAATCTGAATATTAGAATAAATTCTGAAAGCATCATGACACACTGAAAATTCAGCTACATATATATATATATATATATATATATATATATATATATAATATAT